GAGAGTGTTTTGCCTATGTTCTGCTCTAGGAGTTTGATAGTTTCTGGTCTTACATTTAGATCTTTAATCCATTTTGAGTTTATTTTTGTGTATGGTGTTAGAAAGTGTTCTAGTTTCATTCTTTTACAGGTGGTTGACCAGTTTTCCCAGCACCACTTGTTAAAGAGGTTATCTTTTTTCCATTGTATATCCTTGCCTCCTTTGTCGAAGATAAGGTGACCATAGGTTCGTGGATTTATCTCTGGGCTTTCTATTCTGTTCCATTGATCTATATTTCTGTCTTTGTGCCAGTACCATACTGTCTTGATGACTGTGGCTTTGTAGTATAGGCTGAAGTCAGGCAGGTTGATTCCTCCAGTTCCATTCTTCTTTCTCAAGGTTTCAGTACAGCCATTTTGAAATTAAGATGTAGTAGAAAAAATAATGGTCCCAAAGAGGTCTATATCTGATTAGGATGCAGAAACAGAGCATATGTTAGATTAGATGGCAAAGGAGATTATGGTTGCAGATGGAATTAGGTTGTAACCATCTTACCCTAAACAGATTATCTGCCCAACTGAAATCACACAGGTCCTTAAAAGTGGAAGAAGGAAATGAAGAGAGAGAGAGATGTGATGACACAAGCAGGGTCAGAATGATGCAATATGAGAGAGACACTCATCTCTGCTGGCCTTGGAGGTGGAGGCAAGGGCCATGCATGAGTGTGCTCAGGCTGCTATAACAGAATACCACAGACTGCATGGCTGAAATAACAGAAATGTATTTTCCCACAGTACTGTAGGCTGGAAGTCTCTGCCCCAAGTACCAAACTGGAGATGACAGAAAGAGAAAAAGGCAATGGGGACTCTTCCCAAGCTCGTGGAACCACGGTTCCTCTAAACAAGGAAGAAGGGTCTCTTCCCTAAGGATTTTAGGTGCCTGCCCAGCCACCACTGCTGGTGCTGCCACTGTTCACCACAGAGTTTGGGAGTTTGGGCAAGAGACGATTTCTTTTTAATTAGTAAATTTCCTTTGCTCCCCATTTCTCATTTCAGAGCACCAAAAGGGAGCTTCCCTCGGAGCTCATGCTATCTTTCTCTTTGAACCCAGTGTGTAGGTTTGGGTTTCAAGCAGCCCTTGAGTCTAGACCAAGGGATGATGGATGGTGGAGAAGAAAAAGAAAAAAAAAAAATTTCACCGTGAGTTTGTTGGTACCCTGCATTCCAGTTTCCTTCCCAGGTATGCATGGCAGCACTCATTTTTCAGAGCCCTCAGATGACTGCTCCATTTTTAATTACATTTGGCGGGAAAGCAGGGTGGAGAGGGCTTCCTTAATCTTGATCAAAACTGGAATCTGTCTTCTGGCTTTTGCTCTCCCCCGACTTTAGAAGTTGCTCTGTTTCAATGCCACTTTGTTGGCTTTTCCTATTTGATGCGCTTTAAATATCAGTGTTCCCCTAGTTTCACTTAGGCAGCTTTCACACTGTTTGTTGTTGTGGTTCAGTTGCTAAGTTGTGTCTGACTCTTTGTGACCCGATGGACTGCAGCACACCAGGCTTCCCTATCCTTCACTATCTCCCAGAGTTTGCGCAAGCTCATGTCCATTGTGTCAATGATGTGTCAATCATTTCATCCTCTGTCGCCCCCTCCCCCTCTTGCCCTCAATCTTTCCCAGCATCAGGGTCTCTTCCAATCAGTCGGCACACCTCACATCAGGTGGCTAAAGTACTGGAGCTTCAGCATCAGTCCTCCCAATGAATATTCAGTGTTTCACACACTGTATACTCTCTCCCTAGTTAATGTTAACCATTTTCAATACTTAAATTATTATATATATATATGCAAATATGTCACAAGTTTATATCTCAAGGCTGATCTTTCTCATTAATTCCAAACCAGCATACTCAACTGACATCTCTTACACATCTCAAAATCATGACAGATTCCACATGTCTAAATTACAACTCATGGTTTCCCTTCAACCCCTAAACTTGGTCAAGTATTCCCCATGTCAGTTAATGACATATCAGGCTTCTCTGACACCCAGAAGCCACCTTTGACATCCTCATCTCTCTCACTACAGGAACGGTCAAGTACTTAATTGAACAGCCATCAGAAGTTTATTACATGCATATTTGTATTCAACAGATGTTCACTGAGCACTTGATTCTTCACAAAAGTATGCACCAAATGCCCTTCCTGTGCCAGACTTTGCGCTAAGCTCTGGGTCTCCAGTGGTAAATGAAATTGATACAGTCCCTGCCTCAAAGAACCTACAGACTAGTGAGAGAAATATTGAACAAGCAAACCCACAAATTATTAGCAGATTAAAAATTTTGATGAATGCTTTCAATAAAAAGACACAGCACAACACTTTTGTAGAATGAAAAGGAATCGGAGTTTCCCAAAGCAAAGACTATAAATGGTGGGTAATCAGATTATGAAAGATTAGTATGCATGTCATCTTAAGGACTTCAAGCTTTAGGGTAATAAAAAGCCACTAAGAGGTATAAATAGGAAGTGACATGATTCAATTTTTTTTAAAAGCATAAATCTGATCGTGTCACCAATCATTCAGGAACTGACTGTCAGAGGTGGTTTTACCTTCTTGTCAAATATACTCCACTTTTTAATACCTGACAATAATCCCTCACCTGAGACTCTATAAAATTAAGGATAGTGATTGAGATGGACTTTAACCCAAACTGATTGATATGGAGTCTAATCCAAATGACAGAATGTACCAGTTGCCAATAATTTCCTTTAGTACTGCCTGTAATCTATGAAACACATTTATATTATATTTATATTGACTTGTTGTTTTTCACAGAAACTTCAGGTAACATATGGCTGTAATACTGTAACTCCTAATCTCTTAGCCAAGAGCTACCAGGGAAGATATCTGCCTAGGTTCCATCCTGGGTCCTCTTCTGACATAAGGGTCATTTATAACCTGCTTCAGTGACTCATGTCAACTAGCTCAGTTCCCTTTGTCAAAGATTATATACTAATTACTAAGGGTATTCAGTATCTATGTCTTCAAATTCTCATCATTCACTCTCTGCAGTAAAGATTTCAGCTACTTCTGTAACTCTGGTTCTTCCTGTTTATATTTGGCATCACACATATTACAGCTAATTCCAGGAGACAGAAAATTCATTCTAAAATCCACCTCTGCTACTTTAATAAAATACTACTATCAAATATCACTTTAAGATGGCTTATAAAGCAACATACCTCATTGCCCATGCTGTTTCTTCTTCATAATTTTCACGAGTGGTAGTTACTTCTCAAATACAGTGACTAATTAAAAGATGATAAATTTACTAGTTTACTGACTTATGTAAACATAAAAGATACAAAATAATAGGAATCCATGACTTTGTGAAGTCAATCATCCAATGAAGAAAAAAAAAGACATACACACATAAAAAAAGACCTAATTAGTAGTATGGGTGGTATACCAACATAGAAACACATACAAGTTGTGCAAGTATATAGGTGCTTGGAAAAACAAAGTGAGCAAGTGAGCAAATCAAGCAGGCATTACAACCTTACTCAAGAAGTCGAGTTTTAATGAGGAGTTTTCAATGAGGAAGGGTAGTTAGAGAGCCACTCAGCATATAGAACAAGCTCTGGCGAAGAAACCCAAAGGATGAGGGTTACAGTTCTGATTTTACAACTGTGTGATGATGAGCCAAGTATTTTAATTTTCAAAGATTCTGTTTTATTGCTTAAGTAACCAAGGCCATTGTGCCTTTGTTTCTTTATGCTCCCACTTCATTCTGGAAAGGATTTAGGGCAGAAATGATAGACAAATTTCTTCTGGCACCAGAGTTTACAGATGCTAAATTCAACCAAGTTTCCTTCTGGAACAATGTGTGATGACTCTATAGCCCCAAACTTCTCACAACCATAAGACAGAAAAGACAAAAATTACAGCTAAATGTAAATTGGAACCTACTATCATCCATAGGCAATTACTCTATATACACCTATTTCACAACTGTAAAATGACAAAGGTCAAGCACAAGTTAGTTTACTGAGAGTGAGTATATTGTCTTGAATTTTTCTGGTGAGTTCTACCAAGGACACACCCCTGGAAAGAAATCATGGACACACAGCCAGAGATGTTCTTGTGTTTGCTGTAAGTACATTTTGCCCAGCACTTTTTTCACCGCATCTTTGACTTCTCTGTTTCTTAAACTGTAAATTATGGGATTCAGCATAGGAGTAAGCACTCCATAAAGCAATGAGATGATTTTATCTATTTCTTGTGAGCCTGATGAAAAAGGCTTTAGGTACATGGAGAGAGCAGCCCCGTAATACAAGATCACCACAGTCAAGTGGGCACCACAGGTAGAAAAGGCTTTGCTTCTGCCCTCTGCTGAGCTGATTCTCAGAATAGTGGAAAGGATGAAGACGTAAGAGATGCAAATTAAGAGCATTGGAACGGGCAGGAGGAGCACACTGATCACCAGCATGATTGTGTCCAGGAGCAAGGACCGTGTGCAAGCTAGCTTCTGCACTGCGAGAATTTCTCATGTGAAGTGGTCGATGAGATTCCCACAGCGGGGTACCCGCAGGGCGAAGCTGGTTCCCACCAGGGCTGTCAGAGAGCCTGTCACCCAGGAGACGGTGGCCATCTGCACACAGACCTGTCTGTTCATGATGATGGGGTATCTCAGCGCGCTGCAGATGGCCACATATCGGTCATAGGCCACCACAGCCAGGAGCACACACTCCGTGGAGCCCATGGCAAGGGACAGATACATCTGTACAGCACACCCAGAAAAGATGATGGTTTTCTGGGATGACAGCAAGTTCACCAGCAAAGTAGGAATCGAAGCAGATGTGTAACAAATATCCATCAAAGAGAGATTTCCAAGGAACAAGTACATGGGCGTCTGAAGACGTGAGTCTATGACAGTGATTAAAATAAGAGTGCTGTTGCCCAAGTGGGTTATCAGATACATTAAAAGGCTGAAGACAAAGAGAACAATCTCTAACTTTGGGTATCTAGAAAAACCTTCCAGGAAAAAGAAACTCCAACTGGTGAGATTTTCGCCTTGCATTTGCTTCTTTTTACCTGTAGTTATTCTAATATGATTCTATTCACTTTATCTGAGGACAAAAACGGATGGATAAAGTATAATGTTCATTGATTTAGGAAAACACTTTTGAACTTATTTCCACTATTAAAAACACAATTTTACCACAAGAAGTCACAGGACAATGTATCTATTGATCGAAGAGGAGGGGAAACAGGTTAGATCTACATAAAAAGTTGATTCTTTCAAAATAAAATTTAGAGAAGAGTGGATTTGAAAACAAGAATAAACAAATTTAATATGTGAGTCTCAGCTTGCAATCCTTTGCGTGGCACACAGCAGGCTTTCAGTAAACAGTTGAAAGTACTCAGTAATCAAAAATACAAAACAATGAATATATTATTGAGCACTAATTAGAAAAGTAAGTCAAATAAATGAGGAAAAGAAAGCACATTTGTAAAAATGAAAACCAGTAATGATCTTCACTGGAAGAAAAGGAGAATTCTCGGAAGGAACAAGTAAATGAATTTTAAACTAACACCTATGAAGTTCTGGGTCTAAATGATCTTCCAGCTAACAGCTTGGAGGTCCATACACCTGTTTCAAAAATGGTGACATTGTTTGTAGCGTTGTAGACACCCATTCTGATTCTGTGTAAGAGCCAGTTTACAAGTCATGCAAAATAACCCACCTCATTTAAAAACTGTTACATCCACTATAAAGTTTTATTCATTATAGGAACCCATATCTTTGTGAGTATGTAAATAGTTCTAAAAATTATACCCAGGCAATACTCCTGTTATACACTAAAACTCATGAAGATTCAGGAAATGTAGAAATGAAACTCCCTTTAAAACTTATAAAATCTCTTTGCAACAAGATGGATAAACTTGGAGGATATTATGCTTGGTAAAATCAGTCAAAGACAAATACTGCATGATATCACTAATAGTGGAATCTAAAAGATAAAACAGATGAGTGAATATAACAAAAAAAGATTATAGATCATCTAATTATCTACAAGACACTTAGGGATTTATTTGTTTTTACATTTCACATTATTAACCAAAAAAACTTTTTTAAACTTACCTTGTTTATGCACTGATATTGCTCTTTATCACCATCAATCTTTCTCCTTTCCCCACTAGTTCTTTCCTTTCTATTTTCAAATATACTGTTCTTAAAAATTCCCTTCATTGTCATGCTACATATGCAAATTACATCCTATTTTTGCTCTTCCTTTCACAGGTAAATTCCCGTTATATGGTTTATCTTGCAACAATTCACTCTTCACTTTCTCATCACTAATTTGTTAATTTCAGTCAATATTATCATTTGTCTTCCAGTTCTTCATATTTAAAAACCTGGCTAAAGGGTGATGATGAAAATAATAATGTCGTGGGCAATGCCTTATATCATGGCTGTATAACAGGGACATGATATTTGTCAAATACCTTTTATTATATTACATTATTATCTTTGAACTCTTCCTCACTGTATCGTATATCCAGTCTATTATCAAACCTGTCATTTTTTTTCCTGTTTATCAGACCTCCAACAGCTTACACTGAGGTCCAAACATTATCAGGAATCCTAAATACTCTGAGTATTTTAGGGAATACTTGTCAGTACTACTGCCCTCTGTGGTAACTGAGCATGCAGTTTCTGCTTTTCTTCCTGAGAGCTTCATTTTCCCTACATCCTAGTAGTTAGTTCTTATTTATTTGTTAGTTAAGAGTTAACTTCTTAGAAACTTCTCTACCAGATTTTATATTTAACAAATTTCATACAAAATTTTTATTATATTACTGCAGGAGATGATTTCAACGAAACAGGTTTTTGTGCCGTTTTTTAGACTAGCAATGAAAACAGTTTTTCCAAGAATGAAAAATCAGCTCACTTGCCTGGGACTTGATATCTTCTATTGTTTAAAAATAGTAGCAAAAAAAATAAATAAATAAAAATTAAAAAATAAAAATAGTAGCCAAGAAAAATTGAGTTCCCTATCACCAATGCCAATTAAAATATTGTTTATGATATACATCATAAACTTAGCTATGTGCAAGAAAGAATGAATGCACCTATGTTTAAAATGTTAAACATATTCCTTAAAAATCAACAATGCAAATCATTTCTTTCAGAAGTATTGTCTGATACCTCAGTAACTAAAAATGCCAAGGTATAACAATTGAAATACTATGCAAATTTAAATGCTCTGTTGTTTTGGGGGAATACCTGTTGTCCCTGAACAATTTAAAGTTCAGCAGCTATAAGTTCATGCAGAGGTTTGAAACTTTAGATCCTTCGGGGATAAAGTCCCAAAGATCCAATTATATCAAACTTTTAAACATTGAAACAGAGAGTGAACCACAATTCTCCCAAAATAATTTCAAAGAGCTCATAAAATTTTCATAGAATTTTTCATAGAATTTTCTTTCTCCTCTGTCCAACCCAGCCAATGAAGAGTTTTTTCTTGAAAGATTACAGTTAGAGTACTTCACAGTGTATAGAGAAAAGAGAGCCCTAAAATTCTAAAACCTGTATTTTTTTTACTTGTGAAACTACATGTATCTTTTTTCATTTTTGAAACTGCTCCCTAGTTTTCAGAGAAAAAAGGAAGAACGTGTACTCATTAAGCCACTTGTCCCAACAAACGATCAGAACTTCTAGCTTCCCTGAATCCATCTGCAATGCCAGAGATCTGACCTGGGTTCGATCCCTGGATTGGGAAGATCCCCCGGAGAAGGGAAAGGCTACCCACCCCGGTACTCTGACCTAGAGAATTCCATAGACTGTATAGTCCATGGGATCACAAAGAGTCGAACACAACTCAGCTCAGTGACTTAAAAAAAAAAAAATTATTCAATTACATATATTGAGAGGGCCTTAAAACAAAAGACACACCCCTCACCCACACCTTTGTTTCTAAAGGCATTTCTCAGTTAAAAGGAAAAATAGCTCCTTAGAGAAATGGCTGATGTCAAGGCTAGAGCAGGTAAAGGATAAGATCAGCTTGCAGTAATTTACTGCACTAGAACAGTAAGAAAGTATGCAAAGAACAACTGGGATATTTCAAAGGGCTTTAGAAGCCCACTTGATGAGGCTCCCACTGGCCAGGTCTGGGACAGATTATTTTGAGCATCAGAGTAAATAATGGTAAAAATGGATTATAATCCATAGAAGGGGGTAAGTGCATGAATTCTTTTGGAAGGAAGGGAAGAAGGCAGGGTCTTCCTTATAGCAGAATGCTAAACTATAAGCATGGAAGAATGATGTAGTTACAAAATCATCAATCAAGGATTGGGCTGTTACAGCAATAGATTATCACAGGTAAAGTGTTACTGCAGGTAAATGTAAATATCATAGTTGCACAAGCAAAAGTTGGATAAGAGACAAGATATTTACATGATATCAAAGTATCTCACAGCAAACTACTAATTTCAAAAACAAGATAGTAATAGCTTTATAGCAGATACCTTACCATCACCAATAATGGGACATATATCCACGTGACCTTGAGAAATCTGTATGCAGGTCAGGAAGCAACAGTTAGAACTGGACATGGAACAACAGTCTGGTTCCAAATAGGAAAAGGAGTTATCGCAAAGAGTCAGACACGACTGAGCGACTGAAGTGAACTGATATCCACGTGCCTCCACTGAGGACACAGTGGCACTTCTGGGGTATTCCTCTCCAAAGTACATAAGCTGAATCTAATCATAATGGAAAAAACTAGTCAATTAAACTGAGGGATATTCCACAAAATAACGAGCCCGATACTGTTCAAAAGTATCAAGGCCAGGTCTCCGCAGGTGGCCTAGGGCTCAGATGGCAGTTTGCATCACCTTGCCCACAGGGTGCGTGATGATGCAGGAGCAGACCTATGCCCGCTTGCATGGCCCGGTCCTCAACATGTCAGGAAGTCCGCAGCCCAGGTGCTCCACGCTGCACCGAGGCCTCCTCCCCGCTCTACAGCTCCAGGCGGCCGTCAGAGCCAAGACGGTTGCATCCCTCAGCACCGAAGATGGTTGCGTCCCTCAGCACCCACACATGAGACGTCCTGCTGACCGCAGGACGGCAAGCGGGCCGCTGGGAGGCCGGGACGCCCACAAGGCCGACGCCATGGTGGGTGTGCGCCCATGGAGACCGTCCAGGTGAAGTCTATCCGCGACCAGACCTAAACCCATGGGACAAAGGATTCCTCCACACAGTCAGGGAGATTGTTCGGAAGCAAGGACGAAAGAGGACTCACCAGGGCTTCTAGCCGCCGCACTGCACCAGACCATCCGCTTCTTGGTCAGTAGCTCGCTGCACGACCAACAGGTACCCAGAGCCGAACTCCAGCGAGGCCCTGAAACCGCTGACCACCGGGTTTTAGAGCTATCGCGAGAGCAGCCAGGGGCTTCGAGAACACACCTCTGCAAGAGATCAAACCCCAGTACAGGGCCTGGAGGCGCAGCAACACTGAACACGGGGACGAACACGTGAATGAACACGTGGACAAACACGTGGACAGCTGCTCGCAGGTCGTGAGGGGTGAGGAGCTCAAGGCCACCCCCCGCCCCAGCCTACCTGGACGTGGCCCTCGCGTTCATCAGCCACGATGAGGTGGTGAAGCTGCTCAATAAAGCGGGGAAGATGGACAGAGCCCTAAAGGTCTGAGAGGGAAGCCTAAGGATCTATAAAAACAGTGATACCTTATATTGAATTTTAGGCTGTTGGCAGGTCTTAGCTATTCTCTACTCCCTCTTTTATTCTCAAAAATTCAGTTAAAGTCATATAAACACAAGTCTTTGGAAATGGAACTGTGGCTAATGGAGGAACAGGAGTTGCCAGAATGGGGAACTTGTGGTTTGCAAGGCATTTAAGGAAATCCCTGTCCAATCATTAGCTGACCACCAGGCTAACTGAACAGAGACTTAGGCGATCAAGTCCAATAAAGAACTGAGACTTTACAGAATTAGTTCAGGAAGTAACTAAAATAGAACAGAGCAACTGGCAACAAACTGTGCAATGGGAGGAGAATCCGATTTCCAGATTTGCCATATAATGTTTTAATGTCCAGTTTTCAACAACAACAAAAAGAGACATTTAAAGAAACAGGAAAATAT